GACAACTGAAGCTCAGGGCTATCAAAACCCTTTCAGAAAGAGAATCCTTTCATCCTTTTAGTGGATTCAATAACTTCTCAGAGATGGAACAGACAAGTGGTCATGTGTTTAATCTAGGCCTCTGCAACAGGCCAGCTAAGATGCCATCAGCATTTACTATTTACTCAAATGTACATCATTTCAAACCTCACATTGCTGTTCCACTCTTCTGGGATCAGTGTCCCTCAAAAGTGAGGGAGCTCTCCTTGGTGGGCTCATCTTTTCCTACAGAAGCATTCTAACAGCTGCAACTTCCTGTCTCCTACGTTCAATGTTCTCCTCTAGGATTTTCTCTTCCATGAAAAGCTTCCTCACCTTTCTTATTTTCTATCTTTGATGTGTGTACTCATGCATGCATATGTACTTGTGTATTGTCAGACATAATTCTGGTAGATTTGAAATTTGGAGGGAGAAGACATAGTATTTACCTAACCTGTCTATTTAAATTAAAAACCTGTCCTCCAACCTCCACATAGTCTAGTGATTGGGAATGCTATAATACTTATCACATACCTTGAATTGCTATAAATGTCTCTTATATTAAGCCCAAGTTTACCTTCCTCTATTCATTGGTCTTAATTCTACCCTTTAAATCCATATTTCAGAAGGAAATAATATTTGTGTTTTCAAGCCAGGGATATTCAATTACTTTAAAAATTCCTTCACTATTTCAGTTGTTGCCTATTTCTTAAGCTGGTCTTTATAGGAGAGTTTGCTCAATATACCTTTCAAAGTGGGTCTCCAGAACTGAATAGGGTAGGCAATCTGAATATTTCAGTGTCCACTAGGACTATGGTCTTCCTTGTACATTCCTTCCCAGTTTTGCTCTACCCAGCAGTTCTCTCCCTCCTCTACCCTGTACTTGCATACTTGTTCTGGGGAACCTCAAATCAGTGTAAGCAGCCCTGTTAGATTTCATGTTCTGCTCAGGCAAGGACTACCTATAAGATCAGGGACAAGCACTCATATCTCCAAGCAGTTACTCCCATCATCACCCTCTGGACTAAACATTTGGAGAGAAAAGGAACTCCACTCTAGGAATGTAACTGCAACACTTTCGCTGCTCTCTTGAACTGCTGAATAGAGTCATCAACTTGGAAAACCCATTGTCTTTGAGCCTCTGACTTCTTTAAACATTCTTCTTGGTTGACCGAATGTCATTTATCTATGGAATACCCCTCCCTTCACTTTTGAGAAGACAATACCCATATTCAACTATTGCACAAACTCAATTACATTTTAGACAATATAATTAGGCTTCTTGTTTTATTGGAAAAAAAAATGCTGCCTCTCTCTTAAGATCCTACAGTGCTAAAGTTAAACATTCTATATATTTTTAAAAAATTATGTGTGTTTGTATATGCAGCCTTGTGTGAGTTTCCATAAGTCCTGGTTCACTTCCACAGCCCGCTCACCACTCCAGCTGAGAGAGTAAAAGACTAACAGGTCAGATGATGAGATCACTAATCAGAATACAGCCCATTGTTGACAATTAAACTCACAGAACCAATCTACATTTGCAACAATAAAAATAGTGTCCCTTCCCTGTCACCTTCAACTAAATTCTAAACTCAAACTCAGAAAGTATATTATGTTCTCTTCTGTTTCAACAAGGCAGGTAAGATGGTAAAATGATCTCAAAACACAAAATGTGAGTTCCTATCCTAAGAAAAAGGCAGAGTGGTTTGTGTCAGAAAAAAAATGTTTCCCCTGTTCAGACTTGCATATTGCTCAAAATTGAGGCTTTGTCTTTTAAGGCATAAATTCTTGAAAGGTCAAATTCAAGTTGGGTACTTGAAGACAAAAATGGAATAATTACCTGATTAACTCAATTAGCTAACCTACATAATTAAGATTCCTATTTTTCTCAGGTAGTTTTCAAAAAGTCATTCTCCACATCATATCTGGAACTTGCCCTTTTATTTTAGCTGAGAAATGTGTTATTTTGAAAAGAACTTCATGGATGTAATATCAAAGATTTTTCCATTCATTGGGTTGGGGAAGGAGAGAACTATTACCACTGCCTTTTAATTTCCCCCTCCCCCATAAGGGTTGTGCTTAAATAGCCTGTTAAACTATTTACTGCATGTGAGAAGGGCACTGGATGAATGACTGTTTCCACATTACAACAAGGAGTCAATTGTAAACCTAAGAAGTTAAAAATTAAATCAATATTAAACAAATGAATCATGTTCAGAGTCAAAAGGATATTCCACTTTCATAGTTACAACTGGGTTGATCTGATCCTTGACATTTGGAAAAAATGAAGTCAACTTGTGAAACTGATGAGGGCCATCGATTTCATCAGTTATTAAAATTTTTAGTATAAACCTTAATTTTGGCTGACCAAGCAAAACTTAATACAAGTTCACTTGGACAGTTCATTTTCCTTCCTTTGTACAGTGGAAAATAATTTTAAAATTTGGGCATAAACATTGTTCTTATTATTAAAAGAAGTAGGGAAAAAAAGAAAATCTAGTAAACGCCTTCAGTAAAAAGGATTGTGCAGATTATACACCATTAACTGTTCTTGGTATCATGGTTATTTATGTAAAAGTCTTTACTGACTGCATAATTACACCATTTCATTATTAGTTGCTGCCAATATGAGTGAACATTATAAACAAAAAAGTAAATTCATTTTGGTGTATAACTAATAATGAGACACCAGTCTTTATTAAAAACACTTGTGTCATCTCTAAACCATCTTAAATGCCAACTTTAGAAAGGCAGGCAAACTAAATGCATCATTTATTATCCTAGATCAGCGGTGCACTGATTTTTAGCTTTGTATTTATTTTTTAAAAAAAAATATAAAATGCAAGACTTCCAACCTGCAGGGATAAACACAATAATTTACGACAATTATGCAAAGGATATAAAATAGGAAAGACCAAGGAATAGATGGAAGAAAGGCCATCTTACCCTCTCAAGCAGTCAAGGAGATGAAGTTGTCTAGGAAGTGTTGTTAGCATTACTATTATTTGCTCTATTTATTAAACTGGCCCAAACTTCCATGGCTCAGAGGCTCTTAAAATGCCACTATAAAATAAATACACGTACACACACACACACATTCACAGACATATGTGAATGTCCATCTGTTACGTGGCATTTTTCTTTGCCCACTTCTACTTACCTGAACTATACCACCAGAGATTTTCTAAAGCAGAAGATAGTAGCATATCAGGGTGAAACAAAATGAAACGAAGTGTGGGATCCCTTTTAACCTCCTCTCCCAGAATGTAACACCAAAGATTTAATTTTGCAGAGATGCCACTGTGGGCATGGTATCAGATATTTGGGTTTTTAAGGCCCCGCTCCCGAAATCTTGGCCTGCTACTCTAATATATGGTGATAAATGTCTCCTTAATTTGCACAACAGCTTTCAATCTTCTTCAGAGCAGACCACCTTGAAGGAGCGAGTAAAAGGTTTAGTCATGGTTTCTATTTTGCTATTTGAATTCAATACATTCTAATTAAATGGACAATTAATAGGTCACTTCCAAAATAGTAGTGTATCAGTCCTGGTTAATAAACAATCCCCACAGTTGATAATGGGCCCTATGTATTCAGCAAGTCCCTGTATACACTCAGCTCATCCACTAAATCCCTTTTCAGGTGGACAGGGTTATATGGGAAGATGAGCTAGAATGAGTCTATAAAAGTCAGTTTCATTCACTGCTTTATTTTTCAGTCAAGTGCTTTAAATGGTGTCCAGAAATTCACTTGGAATGTGAGACAGGAGAAAAGACTGACACACAGAGCCTTGCTTTATGACCATACAAAAGGGCAACTGACCCTTGCCCAAGCCTTTTCCATGTGAAATGGCTCCTAAAGTTCATCTGCAGAGTGAAAAATCGTGGTGAGGTCGCGTGTGGATGAGTCAAGTGAAAGTGATGATTGGTCACGGGTCTGTCACCCATTGTGCTGGGTCCCAGCCATGTAAAGTGCTCTGTGGGAAAGTATCAGCCCCCTAAAGAGATGCTCAGAAGCTTGAAGCTCATTAAACGGCCAGCATTTGCTGCCTCACTTGTCAGGAATCATTCTGTTGAGCAACTGCTCTCCTGAAACATTCATAAAACACATGCACTGAGGCAGCAGGGAGCTGAATTCAACCGTGATAGAGCTCTGTACTTTAGTCTGACTCAACTCTTATTTCGCTTTCACCTGACAGAACTGTTAACTGAATAAATGTTTTCTCCTAGGCAGCTGAGATAAACGCATCCCTCCACTGGACTTCTTCATCATCAACACAAATTCTCTACCTACAGATTCTTACCTTATCAAGACATCTCAAGACCCAGGTGAACTACTTGCAGCCAGACATTTGTCTTTGCAAGTGACAGTGTGTGTGTGTGCACGCGCTGTGAGTTTTGGAAAGTTCATCCTTCTCTTTCCAGGCCCTCCACCCGTGCTATTAAATTTTTACCTGTATGATTTTTAATGTCCACCTGAAAGCATGTCCTATAGCTCTGGCTGGTTTTCTTTGCGATGATAAAGAGGAGGTATTTATCCTCTCTCACAATCTTGGCAATTTTTAATGTTTTTCTACAGACACCTTATGACTTCATGTCACATTTTAAACTGGATGGAATTTTACACAGCAGTTTCTTTGCCTGCCTCCCTTTCTTTTTTCTTTTTTAAAGGAGTGTTGTTACACATTTCAAAAAGAGCCAAACTGGTCCCTCAGAGATCTTTTTATATCAAATGGAAAACAAGTTGCTTTCCTTGGTATGTCAGCCCTAGGTCTCAAAGCCATTAGAAACTGCTCACAATTGCTCACTGTGCTGAGGTTTGATAAATCTCTGGAAGCCTTCTGAATAGGATCGCTGTGATTTTTAGTGAGGAATTAGCTCCTTGCCATTGCATTACCAATTAGCTTCCCTGAGCACATTAAATCCTGCTGCTCTGGTTTACAGAATAACTGAGGCATTGCTGATGAATCATTAAAAACTTACTTGGAAAAGCAGAGGGGGATGCAGGGCGCCGACAGGACCCACCACAGCACGCAGAGTAGAATGCTGGAGCACTCAGAAGAAAAGGTTTGGGAGGCCCTGCAGAGAAAGCATTGGTCTCACTGATCAGCCATTCTTTTAGACAATATTCAAAATTCCACTTTTCTAAGTCAGTTGAGTAAAAGCCCTTCATTTTCTTAGTTATTCCATTATAACTCATACTGAAATTAAAGTCACATTAAAGTACACTTCATCTGTCAAAGTGCTTGCTAAATAATTTCAGCAAGATTTGGAAGATGTAGTGGAGATATCAAAATTATAAGTTCTTGTCCTGTGAGGTCATAATTACAAGTAGTGAATATCTAATATTCCTTTATTTAATATATCTAGAGTAACACTGTCCAAGAAAAAACTGTCCGGGATGACGCAAACAGCGGTGTCTGTCCTGTCCTACATCTTAACTACTAGCCAAATCTAGTAGCTCCTGAAATGTAGCTAATGTGACAAAGCAACTGAAATTTTAACCCAAATTAATTTAAATTAAATAGACTCCTGTGACTAGGGCCTATGATATTAAATAACACAGCTCTAAAATATTCTACTTACCAAGGAACAATTTAAATGTTATGTGCTTACATTTAATTTTGAAAAAGATTATATCACTTTACTGCTTGCTTTTAGAATAAAGTTTATTTGAAATATATACTGAACTAAATTCCCAAGTTTGTGATAATTCATTTACTGAACAATTCCTCAATAAAAAGTGGTGTTTCTGATCATATGTACATGTTTTTAAGTATTTGAGAATAATCCTATTTTATCTCCAGAGAAATTCAGTTAAACTGAAAGTCTTTATAGTATTTATAGTGTAGTGATTTGCCAAAAAATTCTGTTCTCATTTTATTAAATTGTTACTCATAAAAATTTCAAGAGATATGCATGAAACAGTTATGATTAGTCTTATAGCAAATGTATGTAAAGGAGACCCATTTCTGTGTCCAAAAAATTCTACAAATTTTTTGAAGTTTCATTATCATTATAGACCATTCTAAAATTTTGAGTATAAATACCATCATAGAAATTATATATCACTTCAATTGAATTTAACATTTTAAGTGAAATTTTTAACTCTATTCCCCAATCGATGAAAAATAGTTATAAGGGTGTTATAGAATTTAAACAACAATTCTCCTTTATTGAGAACTTCCCATATGCCAGGCTTTGGTTAAGTAGCTTAAATATACTGTCCTTAATACAGTGGGTTTAATACAATATAAATGTGGTTAAGGTTTCCTGAAGGCGGGCACTTGCTTTTATCATAGCATACCAGGCAGAGTGCCTAGCACATCATAAATCATCAATATTTTGTAACTAAATGAATGTTCTTCAAGTCTAAGACATTTCCCTCGTGTTCTTAGGGAAGAATCAAGGATCAAACTTTAAGCCCTTGCTTGCTCCCCCACACACCTTCCTTCATGGTATCTTTCATAATCGATGACCTTGGAACTTAAAACATGACTTGAAAATAAATAGTTTTGCTATTCTCCTGTCATATTCAAGTGACAAATTCTTTCGTTTTCTTAATTACACAAGGGAATATTGTCTTGACATGACTACATACCTTTCTGAAGAACACAGTACTTTCAGATTCACATTTTAATCAACTGATAAATTGCATGCTTATTTTCATCAATTATTTAAAGCAGATGTCAACACAAGCATATTTCCCAGTTAAAAATAATTATAGTATTTTAGGATCCTGAAAACCCTAAAATTACAAATTAGTCATAAATGCAGATTTCTTCCTTTAATACAGTGGAGAGTTTCAATATTAATGTTCTCAGACTTTTTAAGTATCTGGATTTCCAGAGAATAGTGTTTAACACTATTTGGAAAATATGGCAACTAAGGCAAAGGTATGAAAATGAGAATATTTTGGTGTTCAAAAAGTTCAAAAACTTTTTTTAGTTTTATTTTTACCATAAATTGTTCTAATATCAATTATAAAACCATCAGAGTAATTAAAAATCATTTAAATTTTATCTCTTGAATTATATTACAAGAACATGACATTATTTAGGCAGATTTATATTTCCATAATTACTATGGACATATGAAGTACTTTGAAAAATTGAATTATGTTTCTAAATATAAAAATTGCCTCATTGTATTTATTATCAAGCATTTATGTTAGCTCCTTCTTTCTTTCTTTCTTTCTTTCTTTTTTCTTTTTAGGTAGAAGGAAAAAATTCAGTAATGTTGCATTTACATACATAAAATTAAACATTTATTATGCTAGGTGGAAATGCCAAAGAAAATCTATTTGCTTATTATTTGCTATTCAATATAGAATACAGGAAATAAGATCGTACCCAAGTAAAACCACTGAAATAATAATGCAAGGTATATATAAATTAGATAATTTCTATTCTAGCCAAAATGTTTCTGAGTCTACCATCCCATTTCCCCTAAAAATGGGAAAATAAAAGATTAAAGAAAACAGATTATTTCCTTAAGTAATCAATTAAATACATTTGTGATAAATGTGGTTTGAAGATGTCTGATTTTATTATTAAATTTTTCCAGAAAGAGTTTTAATGGAACAGCCCATTACCCTACATGAAAGTTGTAATTAAAATGACAGTTTCAAAATCTGTAATTACAAAAAATGTCAAAGTCTACAGTAACAATTCCAGTTTGGCTAAAGAACTGGCTTTCATACTTTGTGAAAAGACCAAGCTTGAGGTTCTATTGTATAGAAGTTCTTCACCATTTTAAATCATGTATTTGACACATATATTTACACAGGAGATTAGTCAATTCCTGATTGCTATACATAAATACACCTTGTTGAAGCTGGTTTATGTGGAAATCACTGTGAAATTCCAATTAAGTGCTCCTTTTTTTTTTCACATGCTCCTACTCTGACATAAGTCAAATGCTAATCTATCTGAGCATGTGATTGCCTTGGTGCTCAATGGCAACAGGAAATAATTATTTAAAATAATGCAATGCATTTAAAATATATTTTGAACTTTTAACATTTGTAAGCCACATACTTTTTTTTAAAATGAGGAAAAGAGAAAACTCAACCTTCATGAAAATGAAGTGACAAGTGAACAGATGTGTGAAAACTTTTGTAAGCCTTAAGATCTACTTCGAAGACACTCTGAAAAATGCAGGGGGGGAAAAGGCCATTTAATACTGGAAGATAAGCATTCAAACCCCATCAATGCAGTTTAGATGCAATTACTTCATCATTCAACTGTGTTAAGAATGACTCATGGTGAACTTACTGAACAAGAGTCATAATGATAATATTTAAGGAGTGTTTACTATAGTCAGGCACTGGACTGGCTACAAATTTAACACAAGCCATTTCATTCCTTCATTCATTAACATTCAACCTCAAATGGGCCTCTGTCCAGAATGTGATTATGATCACTTTCTCCAAAGTAAAAAAGTAGGCAAGAGAAACAATAAGGATTTTTGTAATTAGTTTTTAGCCATGAGGGGTAGGGATTTCATTTACAGACTCTGCTAGTTATTCCAAGCTGGACTCCGGAAAAATAGACACACCTCCTAAGATCCCCAAGAGAGAAAAAGAATGTCCTTTCCTATGAAAAGAGCACCCATGGGACAGGTTCTACAGCATGATCTCAGGTCCTATTGGTACAGCATTTCAAGATACTCCAAATTTCATATTCCACCAACAAATCAAACTTCCATTTTCTATGGGAAGTTGTTACAACTCACAAACAAAACGATTTAAATTTTTTGGGACTAAACCAGAATCTTCCTGCGACCAAATGACTAAATTCATGCATTTCCAGAAAACTTTATAAACTTTCCACACTTCATCAAAGGTTCTAATTTATTTGAAGAAACAGATTCAAAGTGTCTTTTAATTATTTTGAATATCAATTTTAGATGGGAACTTAGAGCCAACTTAAAGGTGAACTGGCCTTACTTTTTCAAAACTAAATAGATCGCTATATGATGTAAATATCCCAAGCAAAGAATAGTTACAAGCCTAACTATAAAGAAATTATTTTCAACATTCTGTTGTCTAGAAAACAATTATTTTAGTTGACTTTTGTTATTTTCATTCTTCTTTATTGATGGAGAAGAACCATGGAAATCAATTGGTGTGAAACCAATTCTTTTTATTATCACTGCAAACTGTGGTACTAACTGACTTGAGGTGACATTTCAAAGACAAAATACCAAAGATCACCAATAAAACTTTTAAATAAATTTCAGCGTTCCATTGTAATGCTACGCAGACTGAAGCACATTTCAAGGAAGATGAGGAGAAATGAGACAAGGTTCCAAAATATCCTACTACTGCAGAAGGTCAAAAAAATAAAAATAAAAACCTCTGGGAAAGAACAACAGGGAATTAAATAATTTTGAAAGGTTAGTTTTAATGATCTCCTTCAAGTACCAGGTACACAGACTGCCATTATTACGTAATTCCAGATCCATAATAACATAACACATAAAAAGAAATAATATGGTCCAGACTTCTACTGAAATAGAAGCAAATAAAAAGAATATTATAAGGAAGGTTTGGTCAAAGAAGGCTTTAAGCAGGAGAAACATCTTAATTAGGACCTTTATCTATTTTGGAAGTATTTGGAATGACGAAAAGAAAAGAAAAGACCTCATTGGGGGTTAAGTCATATGAACAAAGGAAAGGAGGTAAGAATGGTTAGGATGCATGAAAAACCTTAAGAAGAACAGTCTTGGTACTGGGACAAGGTCAAAGGGACAAGAGTGGCTAAAAGAGATCAATGTTGCTGAGGGAATGAGGTCCTGAAAGCCAAAGAGATTATTTTCTTTGATTGTCATCAACGAGTATAATTTATGTTTTCCTGGGTAGCTGGGTAATATGATGAAAGCTACATTTCAGGAAAATTCACCTGGAGTGGTGGCTGAGATGAAATAGGAAAAGGAAAGTCTATAGGGAAGGTTGTGACCATAGTAACACTGTGTAGCAAGAGACAACCATAAGCATTACTTGTTTGGACACTTCCATCAACATTTTCTCATGAATCCTCACAACAGCAACTACTGGGTAGAAGCTGGTTTCCCCT